CCCTGGCAGGATAAGGACCCCTCCAGTGGTTTTTTTTTTTTGTTTGTTTGTTTGTTTGTTTTTACAAAGGCACATCCTTGATAGGTAAAACTATCAAGGATGGAAAAACTATTTCTCCTTTGAAATGACGGATAATAGAGAAACGTGTGTGGAGGCCAAGGGAGCCAAGTAAGCCAGTGTCTGCCCTGGCCAAGGGAGCAATGTTTATATAGAATGCGGAAAGGTAAAACAATCGGTGCTATGGCCTGTCTCAGCCAYTTTTGCTGCAGTCTGATATCTCAGTGTGACAGGCCTATCAGATGAAAATAATAGTGCTGCGCTCCAAAAATCTACAGAGGCTAACCACTTTTCCATTCCAGTTCAGAGGAAGAATGAGGAGCTTGATGTGATCCCCCAGGCGTTGAGGGCTCCCCTGGGTGCTGCCTGTTGGTCTTGGCCTGCTCAGCAGTCTTGCTCACAGCTTCAGTCAATGGATAGGAATGTGAGACCAGRGATGGTGCATGGAGAAGTAGCAAGAGCCTGCGACTGCGACCCATAGTTCTACCTTTTAATTCTGGTTCAACTTGGTGCCAACTCTGCRCTGAACACCAACCCCATGCACAGCACTGCCCCACCAAGTCTTCATGAGCCCTCCAAATGCCATAGCACCCCTGCCCCTGTGCCTGCATCCCTCTCCTGCTCAGATGCTCCATCTCGCCTCTCAGCTTCTATGAGTTTTAGCCAAGCTTCTAGAGAGACCTTGAGTGGTGCCTCCCCACCCAGAACACCCACCTGCCATGATGGTTGAACTCTGCGAAACTCTCGCAGCTTGCTATGAATGTCAATCACCAGCTTCAAATGAATCATTCTCAGTGCCAACAACTAGCGTTTCTAGAGTACCTTCTCTACTTCAGGCTCTGTGCTAGGTCCTAAAGACGTGAAGATGGCAAAGATGCCTCTCATCAGAGTACCAGTAACCTATATGGCCAGACGCCAGACTCACAAGTAGGTTAACRTATGGATGATGCTAAATTTGCGATTGGTGGTTCTCCATGCGCAGCGTGCTAGAYAGTAAAGTAAACCCAGGATTTGGCCTGTCACTCAGAGGAGTCTGAACATCTTATAGGATAAAACTGATGCCCAAAGTTCATTCACTCTCAGCTTGGGGCCCGTAGAGTTTTGCAAGGAGTCAAGAAAATCGGCTTTCCATGTTGGAGCCTGACAGTCATGAAACTGATGTGAAGGTTTTTCTGGGACAGAGTTGGTGGTGCCCAGGAAGGATGAACTTATCAAGTTGTTMCTTAAAAAAAAGGACAAAGAAATATAGTCTTTGCTTACTACTATATTTGAACCCTGTCATGGTTTGCCTATGAGATGTCTCCCAAAAGTTCCTGTGTTGATTTAGAAATATTCAGAGGTAGAAGGATGAGACTATGAGAGCTGTGACCTGTTCAGTGTCCCCTTGTTTGAACAGACAGACTGGGTGATAGCTGTAGGCAGGTGGGGCATGGTGAGAGGAGGCAGGTCACTGTGGCTGTGCCCTGGAAGGGTGCATCTTCCTCAAGGACCCCTTCCCCTTTCTCTGCTTCCCAGATGCCCTGTCCTGAGCAGTTTCTCTCTCTCATGCCCTTCTGCCATGAGGTGCCACCTCGCCTTAGGTCCAGAGCAATGCAGTCGTCCTACGATGGGCTAAATCTCTGAAACTGTGAGCCAAAATAAACTTTCCCTCCTCTAAATTGTTTTTATCAGATTTTTTTTTGATCATAGCAACCCAAAGATGACTAACACAAACCCTGAAAAATATAGCACTGTGTACTACAATTGTAAGTGGAGGCGCCACTGTTGAAGTCATACCCAAGTCCAGGTGCCATCCCTCCACCTCAATGTCTTCTAAACCCCACWTGTGCACGTGCTCCTCAATGGGTATTTCTGACCACGGTGGCCCACTTTCCACATTTTCGTGCCATGGCATGAATGGGAAGGTTCCTGCTGCCACTCCATTTCCTGCCTGCTTCTTCACTGGCAGAAGTGTGATTTCACTCTGGAACTCTCCCTCCTCCACTCTCACTGCTTCACTTGCCAATCACGAGAATCCCACTTACTTTGCCAGGAACTGGTTTAGAAAAGGAACCCGTTAGTTCGCTCTGGCACTTGCTCTAGCTGCCTTGTGAGAACACAGCAAGAAGGCAGTGGTCTGCAAGCCCAGGGGAAGGTGCTCACTAGGAACTAATCTGGCCAGTCCCTTGGACATCCCAGTCCCCAGAATGGTGAGAAACGAATGTCTGTTGTTCAAACCACCACTTTATGGTATTTTGTTATAACAGCCTGAGGACGGAGACCTCATGACTTAGTTTTAAGTTGCCAATCCCAGTAATTCTAAGAAACATCAGTCAACATGCACCTCTAATAGCTGTAATAAATCTTGCCCTCAAGGCCAAGAATTCAGGGAAATAATTGTGTGTGTGTGTGTGTGTGTGTGTGTGCGCGCGCGCGTGCGTACACATGTGTGTATCTCCCCAAGGTGAGTCTAGAGACATGGATGCTGACCTAAGTAGTGGTTCAAGGTTCAACCAGATACAAAGAAACAACCAGAAGGCCAGAAAAGGTGTTACCCCCACCCCCAGTTTCAGGGAAGATTTCTCTAGAGTATCAATATCAGCTTTGGTCCTTGGTGGGAAGGGGACCAACCTATCATCTATTTCCTTAAGTCATGTACAGGGAAGTTGGGAGAGGCAGGACCTCTGATCAGAATTTTAGTTGAAAAATTATGGAGCCAGGGTGAATAACACAGAATGTCCAAGTCTGCTTACACAGAACCACCCTCCCTTCCAAAATGACATGCCAAACTGTGTGCACATGAGATCTTATTCGGAGTCAGGTTCGTGACTTATCAGATTCTCAAGAAGGTCTGAATACAACAGTCACTAGTGTGGCAATATGTAAAAACATGGATGTGTAACCGATGTGATTCTGCAATCTGTATGCGGGGTAAAAATGGAAGTTCATAACCCACTTGAATCTAATGTATGAAATATGATATGTCAAGAGCTTTGTAATGTTTTGAACAACTAATAAAAAAAAAGAAGGCCTGWAACCCACAAAAGGAAGAAATCCCTGCAGAAGACACCGGCATGCTTTGAAAGTGCTGTGGAAGTGTAATATCTTAATTCTAGAGCTCAAAGGAAGCTGCCTTCATCTATTTCCATAAATAGCAGCTCTAGAGGCCAAGGGTATCATAATAGATAAAATTCCTCTGCAATAATGGCAAGAATGTACAGGAGCCGTCACCTGAGTCCACAGTAAACTACAAAAGCTACCTAGTAGAATGCTGTTATAGAAAGACCATTTGCTTCCCAGATAATGAGGCACGGCCAATGGGCAGGGGGATGTTCCTATCATTCCAGGAGGAGAATAGGACATTACATACTGTCAGAACCTTCTGCAAGTTCCAATCTCCTACAGTCCTTTATTGTGTGGTAGGGGGCTCTGTTTGTACCTTCCTTGGGGATGATGAGGAGGGGGATTAATTTCTATGTAATTTCAGAAACTAGTTGGCCTAAACCCACCCTAAAAGCATTTGAAAGTCACAAAATAAGTATTTGAAAGTACAAATTGCAAAAAGAAATTGCAATTATAAAATAGCTTTATGGTAGACTTAAGCAAGACAAATATAATGGTAAGAAACAAATACCTAATCCTGAAATAATTGCAACAAGTCTATGATTTAGGACTCAGTTTCCTGGGAATGGAAATAAGGCATCTAAAAAGAATTGAGGAATMCAAAGGTAAAATTCTAAATTTTCATCATGATTTTTCCTAATTGCAATTTCTTTGGAATATGTCCTACTATCTTCCTAGTGATTGGTATTCTACCTGCCCCCTCCCCCCCCCCAAAAAAAAACTAAGAGGGCATATGAAAAGATTTTCAATGTTATTAATTACTGGGGAAATATAAATCAAAACCAAAATGAGATATTAGTTCCTACTCACCAGGATAGCTATAATAGAAAAACTGGAAAGTGTAAGCATTGGCATGGACCTGGAGAAATTGGAACCTTGTACACTGCTGGTGGGAAGGTAAGCGGATGTTATTGGTMTAGAAACTACTAGTGGTTTCCTTGAGAGCTAGACATAGAATCATCATATAATTATATTATCATATAATTCTATGACCCAGCAATTCCATTTCTAGATTTATATGCCCCAAAGAATTGAAAGCAGGGAATTGAACAGATATTTGTAAAGCCATAATCACAACATAATTCCCAAGGGTCAAAAGACAGAAGCACAAATAAAAAATTTTTTTAAAAATACAGAAGAAACTCAAATGTCCATTGATGGATAAATGGATAAGCCAAGGGCAGTAGATAGATATAGTCAAATATCAGCCTCAAAAAGGAAGGAAATTCTAAAATGCTACAACATGGATGAACCTCGAGAACTTTAGGATAAGTGAAATAAGCCAGCCACAGAAGGACAAATACTGAATGATCCCACTTATATGAGGTCCACAGAATAGTCCAATTCATAGAGACAGAAGGTAGAGGGCAGTGGCCTGGTGCTGATGGGAAACAGAATATGGAATTACTTTTTTTTTTAAGAGAGAGAGGATAGAGAGAGGGAGAGAGAG